ACCCTTGTCACAATCCAAAGAAAAAAACAAAATATCCTAACCCCCTCTTGTCAACATATATTCTGTTTGGATAAGTAAACAACATTGTGTTTACAACTAGCGACACCTTCAGTTCAGATACGTAAACAACAATATAGCCATAGAACCAGACGATTTAGGAGTACCTGTTTGGTCGGTTGGTTATCTGTCTAGGTCTCGATTGGTGAAGAGTTCTTAATTCTTTCACCTAAAGAAGTCACTTAATTAGCCACGGTGAAGTGAGGTGTTCTATGATTGATTACTCTCAGGTGCATTTCATAGTTCAACATTCAGATGATCGAACCACGTTCATTATAAAAGACACTTATCTTCTTTGAGTACCTTTGCCTAACAGCTTGATACCAATAAGGCGCACTTATATTCTTATGAATATAGTTGAAGTGACCGAACCCAGAGCGCAAGATCCTAGACTTCGTAGTGAATTAAGCAACCTTATCTTCAAGTTTTAGAACTTTAGATCGAGAAGTGTTCCTTCCTCTGTTGTAGTTTCTCAAGTGCAGAAGTTAGCAGTGCATTCGACACAATCATCCCCACATTATTCTACTAGCCTGACCGAGCGTGGTCACGAGTTGGTACGGCCACATTCATTAGAAGTAGGGATGACATTTCAAACTGTTAAACCTAATAACCATAGATAGCCACCTGAATTGAATAGATTTTGGGATGAAAATTCGTGTATATTTTGGACACAAGGAAAAACTGGAATTGTTATTCGATTATGGTTTCAGATATGGATACAGGGGTCCCCGATCTTTATCCATCCCTGAATCAGACCCAAATATATAAGTATAATATATAATATTCACCGAACCTTTTACCTTGACAATTACAAAAGTTGCATTTTGTGGGAAAGTTTAAAAGTTTTGAATAAAAAACAATGAGAATTCAATGGTGTTTATGAGACAGATCAAAGATCAGCCAACATCATCAATATTTTAATTTCAATGCTCTAATTTTAAAATTCAATACTCTAATTTATCCTCACAAGTTTTAGAATTATTTGACAATTTGTTTTGTCTTTCTTCTTAGGAATTGTTATTGGCACTCCAAAAATCTCATTTTGCACCCCAATTTTTCTATAATTAGAAAGAAAAATACACTTGTAAGAAGTGTAGAATGAGAATTTTGGAGTGCTAATAACAGTTTCCTTCTTGTTTAGTGGTTGTTGTATTTGCTTTTGTTATCATTTTCTTTTTTTTTCAGTGGACTAATTTATCATATTTGGCTTATTGGTTGGATGTGGATATTTTGACACACCCCGATCCTAGAATCAAGGCGTGCTGGCCATCACGTGAGTGTGACGTAATCAAAAGTGTGACGCGGAAGTAATGGATAAGAGAAATACGAAGAAATAAAAACCAAATACTAACAATACTAACCAAGCAACGTGCTAGAGTAAGTTTAAGTGTGAAACACACATATTCAGAGCATAATTACTAGGTGCAGTCAAGTAAGACCATAACTAAGTTACAACACCCGAAGGTGAGTCCTACATTTATGTAGTATGTTAGTACGCCGTGGAAATCCTCGTGGGCCACCAACGCTGCTAACTAGAACCTGGAGGGGCGCAAACCAAAATTGAGTGGGTCAGTAAAACAAAGCTTTTTGAAAATATTTCAATTAATAACATTTCTAACCCCTCGCTGTAAAACCTGTATACTTTCCCAGAAAATAACATAATATATATAAAAATCTTCATATATCTCAAATCACAATTCTTTATAAAAAATCAGAAAGTATGCCATACTATAAATGTCAATAACAGAATAAGGATGCATCAATATAACAGGTGAAATAATGAATCAACCGGAGACCCTGCAGTTGGTCATGTACGGTTAATTCTAAAGCTCAATATCCAATCCAACCGGAGTCACCGCAGTGACCTGTACGGCGCTACTCTGCACATAAATCGGAACTACCTGAAGTAGTCTGTACGATAAGAAAGGTGTAAGAATACACTCTAGTGCTTCTCTCATTAACAACTGTATAATAATCTAAAATCACCTACAGTCGGAACCACTCTATGGTCTGTACGACATGTCGGAACCCTCTCATGGTCTGTACGACATGCACCTACTTAGATCCAAGGTGAGCGTGCGGTGCAGGGTGAATAATATAAGCACTAACACCAGGGGTGCAGGTTTGAGCTTTCAATACAATTCACATCACAATAAATTACATGATTAACATAAAACTCACCTAATACTCACATGTGCGTCCACATCACCATTTAACGTATATATGCATCAAATACTAATTCATATCATTCATAATATGCATGCATGGCATTTTAAAAACATACTTTCATTTAAATTCAATTTCTGGGAAATTCAGTAGTATATAGGTAATAACAGAAAATAACTGCCCACTCACTGGTAAGTCGAAGGGTCGTAACCCCCGTGACGTCCTTGAATGCACTTGTCCTCGGGATAGGTATCACCTATATGCGAAACAACTATAAAAATGTTAATTAAAGCACATAACCGACAATTCGAAATAACTTCTCATACGATGCTCAATTTGGGTATATGAATATACCACAATGACCTACTTGACGTCACGGACGTCGAGGTATCTTTAGAAAAAAATTTCGAGGCCGCACGCACCCCCACGCGCCGGGAGGGGCACGGACCCACGCGCCCCCACGCACGTCACCTTCTTCCTCCAGTCGCCGGACTGGTTTTGCCGATCGCCGAAAAACTGGAGATTTTTCAATCTCCTTGTTCTCCATCATTCCTCCACCATTTCTTACGTATAATATATCATAATGAAGATCTTGACGAGATGAACACATCCATACCTGCCTCGACCCCCAACTCGCTGGGGATTCACCGGAAAAAGCCTTGAAAGTTCCTGCCGAATTTGAAAAGTTCCGTTCTTAATCCTCCGACGTCCAAATTCTACCAACGACGTACCCCGAAGCTCGTGAGGACCTCTTTAAGCTCACTGTGAGCTTAAAATTCTCTGAAACACAATGTTTTACGTGTGCATGAACAGTGCCCAATTTCGGAGTTATGGTTTCACGATGATATCGAAGGTCTTAAGTTCTAAAATTAGTATATTTGAACTCAGGGACTCAAGAGGAGTTCGATTCTTACCTTAGAATCTTCGATCTGTGAAGATTTGAGGGCTTTGTTCTTTGTCCGTACGGTTTCAAGAGGGAGAGAGTGAGAGAACTGAGAAGGAGGAGAGAGAGGGCTCGAGGAAGAGAGAGATGAGGTGTCCTGTGTGTGTGTGGTCCATACAAAACAAACCCAATTCCAAAATCCTTTAATCCTTAACCACACAAAATGCATACAAAATAAATCCACTTAATTTATTTTCCAAGAAATTAGGAGAGTATGCATTATTCCAAATAATATGTCACATGTACCTTAGTACCCGTCAAGGGCAATTTCGTCTTTTCACATCAACAATAATGTAATTCCGGGACGGGTTGTGACATATTTAATGACGAAATAAGTTACTATTATCTTATAATGCGTCAATTGAACGAATATATTTTTAATATTGTTGATGCATAAAACTGGATGTCTTGGAACAACGTAAATCCGACTGTGAATCTGCAAGAAAGTAAATAACACCGATATTACAGACAGATTGAAAAAGAAAAATTGGAGCCAAGAAAAAGGACTTGAAAACTCACAAAAAACCGAAATCTTATAGGAGTCCTCTATTTCCATCATTTTCCTTCTTCAAAATAAAAACAGTAAAACTATAATTTGAGTGTGTACACATATATATATTCGATAAAAAGCATAAATAAAAAATTTCAAAACAGTAGTAGAGATAACAAAAATGATAAAAAAAACATAAAAATTATGAATCAAAAGTCTAACACTTTTAACTCACAGGAAACTTTGTAACCAGTTGCAAGTGGCTGCATCCTCGTTGGTGACCAATTGCAAAGTCGCCTTAAAATCAGCTAAATATGCAAATGAATACACATATGGGTCATATATGAAGCTTTGAACTAAAAGTTGGTACTCCTGCTTTACTGGGAAAGAAATAGCAGAGAAAACACAAAATAAAACGTTTAATTTCAAAGTTATTTAAGGGGAATGAAGAAATTAATTTGAATTTAGGTGAAGAAAACACTTGAAACCAAGGGAATCACAGTAAGTGGAAAAGGATTTGGTTGGTGTTTGTTTACCTTGGAATTCCAAAGAATTTGGAATGGATTAGAAAATGCCGAGTTAGAGTGGGAAGGTGAAACGTTTGCTCCTGCTCTGAGATTGATTTGTGGGTTTCTTTGTGTTCTCAGCGGAAAGCTTTGATTGTCGCAGGGTTTGCATACTTCAGATGAATCGACTCCATGGTTGCAGTTTACGAGTTAAGACACATATTGAAACACATAAAGAAATCGATGATAAAAAATGATGGAAGCTGAGATGTGTGAGAAAGAAAAGTGAAAAGTAAAGGAAAACGTGAGAAGAAGTAAAGTCAGAAGACGCCAATTGAGAATATATCAACGCCCATCATTGAAAATGCATTAATAAGCTAAGAATATATGTCAAAACAATATTTGAGCCAACATGTATTTGAAGTGTAATGTTCTAAGATTAGGAATTGTGTAAATGTTTATGTGTAACTAATATATTGTGATAAAGCATGAGAGAAACAACATAGCTATAGATTGAATATAATAACCTATAACTGATTGGTGATGCAAGGAAAAGTATCGGCTGATTCTAAACAAAGTGGAATATGTTCAAATAAAAGTAATTGAAAAGGAAGTTAATAGATTGTGTCACTGAATCAAACTGAAAACATAGTAATGTCATTAGATTTTTTACTTCAAAATTTGATGTCATTGTTTAGATATTTGGTGTAAATGGCAGAATTGAATCAAACAGGTTGAATAAAAACAACACTTGAAATAATTTAAATGATGACATTGTTAATCATGAGTTAATTTATTAATATTTTTATTGTAAAAGTGAAATGAAATGTGTAAAAAGATGGATTAGATATAGCGAGTTTGGTGCCTCTTTGTATATTAGAGATGCAGTATGCTGACTTCTTTCAGCCTCCATCATTTGGAGAAATAATCATCACTTCCATCTTTTCTCTTCAGAGGAATTGGTTGCTATCAATTTATACACAAAGACTTTCTTCTTTTGATCTATTGTAAACACATGGCTAATTGGTTGGTTGTCCAAAGAGAGGTTTGAGTTGATCATACAAAAGTATAAATGTAGATGCTCTCATTGAAGATAAACTCTATACATTAACTTAACTCATCAATGGTCAAGCAAGGAATAAGCTATGTATTCAGAATAGGTAAAATGAAGATAGTTTGTATATATATTAGTAGCAACCAATTCTCCTGAAGAGAAAGGTCAGTAAATATTGAATTTAAACGGAAGTCATCAAGAAAAGAAAGTTAAGAAAACATATTATTAATTCGTTCCACTGTGGTTGAGGATTTAGGCCATACCTAATAATCTTTGCTTTTATAACCTGCTTAAACATATTTGTTGTAGCTACAACTTGACTATTGATTTTGTTATTTGTCTTCTTTTCATTGAATCTTCGGAAGAAGAGGTTAACACCTCACTGTACATTTAAAGACCATCAGAAACGCAATTCACTAAATTGAACTGAGTTAAATGCAAAAAATAGAATATAACTGGATCATGAAACTAACTGTATATGGAATTCATATAAAAATTCCAGCACTTAACTTGAGTTTGAGGTTCAGTTGATTGAAAAATTTGGTTCAAATAAACTAACACTGGATCCTGGCTATGCTAATGAGATATTAGGTATACAACAGTTTTGCACATGTATAAAGGCCAGCAAATTAAATTCCTACTAACAATTGAGTGTCAAATATGCTAAAAAAAAAAAAAAAAAAAAAAACGGAGACATTACTCACAAAAAATGATTTCAAATGTCCATCACTTATGTTGGCAACGAAGGCCACGCTTATTGAGATAATGAACAACTTTCTCACTGTAACATCCCACATCGACTAACGGAGAGGAGGTGATGTGCCTTATTTGTACATGTCCACCTCCTATAGCATGAAGCCTTTTGGGAACTCACTGGTTTCGAATTCCGTCGGAACTCCAAAGTTAAGCGAGCTTGAGCGAGAGCGGTCCTAGGATGGGTGACCCATTGAGAAGTTCTTGTCTGAGTTCCCAAAAATAAAACTATGAGGGAATGGTAAGTCCAAAACAGACAATATCGTGCTACGGTAGAGCTGGACTGGGATGTGACATAATGGTGTCAGAGCCACTCTGCCGTGTGGTGCGAGTGTGCCGACGAGGACGTTGGGCCCCTAAGGGGGTGGATTGTAACATCCCACATCGACCAACGGAGAAGGGGTGATGTGCCTTATATGTACATGCTCACCTCCTATAACATGAGGCTTTTTGGGAACTCACTGGTTTCGGATTCCATCAGAACTTCGAAGTTAAGCGAGCTTGGGCGAAAGCAGTTCTAGGATAGGTGACCCACTGGGAAGTTCTTGTCTGAGTTCCCAGAAAAAAAACCATGAAGGAATGGTAAGCCCAAAGCAGACAATAGTGTGATACGGCGGAGCTGGATTGGGACATGACATAATGGTATCAGAGCCACTCCGCCGTGTGGTGCGAGTGTGTCGACGAGGACGTCGGGCCCTTAAGGGGGTGGATTGTAACATCCCACATTGACCAATGGAGAGGGGGGGTGATGTGCCTTATATGTACATGCACACCTCCTATAGCATGAGGTATTTTGGGAGCTCAATGGCTTCGGATTCCATCGGAACTTCGAAGTTAAGCGAGCTTGGGCGAAAGCGGTCCTAGGATGGGTGACCCACTGGGAAGTTCTCGTATGAGTTCCCAGAAACAAAAGCATGAGGAAATGGTAAGCCCAAAGCGGACAATATCATGCTACAGCGGAGCTGGACTGGGATGTGACAGAACGGTATCAGAGCCACTTTGCCGTGTGGTACTAGTGTGCCGACGAGGACGTTGGGCCCCTAAGGGGGGTGAATTGTAACATCCTACATCGACAACGGAGAGGGGGTGATGTGCTTTATATGTACATGCCCACCTCCTATAGCATGAGGCATTTTGAGAACTCATTGACTTCAGATTCCATCGGAACTCTGAAGTTAAGCGAGCTTGGGCGAGAATGGTCCTAGGATGGGTGACCCACTAGGAAGTTCTCGTCTAAGTTCCCAGATACAAAACCGTGAGAGAATGGTAAGCCCAAAGTGGATAATATTGTGCTACGGTGGAGTCGGACTGAGATGTGACACTCACACTACAAACAAATAAGTTAAAAACAATAACAAAGAAAGAGAAGACGATTACCTTCATTGGGTCCAATGTCTGAAATTTCTATATTATCGGTGAAATATCGTCGATAATATCATTTTTGTGAGACACCGATATTTTCACATGTGTCCACTAAAATACTGATATTTTTTAGAGATCTCTGTGTGTGTGGGGGAGAAGGGAGAAGGGAGAAGAGAGAAGGATCGAGAGAGAGAGACTGAGGTCTCTATGTGCGTTTGTGATCTCTGTGTGCGTGTGTGGTCTCTGTGTGCGTGTGTGGTGGTGTGTGATGTGAGAGTCTCTGACTCTGTGTGTGTGTGTGGTGGGTGGCGTGTGAGAAAAAAAAGAGCATCTAAATAATTCAAAACCCTGACAACTTTTACAACTTGTACAATTTTTGACAAGACAAAAATAATGGTGGTTTCATCAAGATTCAAAACCGTGTGCCACGCGTGATATTCTTTCACATTCTCAGAGGTGGAGTATCAGATCATCACACATTTTTTTACCCTTCGAAAAATGAAAAACCTCTATTACACCTTTTCGTTTCTTCTTCTTCCCTTAACCCTTTCAGAGCCATTCCAGATCCATTCCAGAGCCATTTCAGAGCTTCAAATTGAATAAATGGATCTGCAGCTCGCGCCATTCCAAATTAAATGTTAAATACCTTCTTTCTCTCTCATTTATTCACAAACGGCAAACTGCAGAGGATCGTCGAGGTTTTGCTGCTACGTACGACATCGAAAGTTCCAGATTTGTTACATTTATGTAATTATTATTTTATTGTTGCTCCACGCAGATTCTATTTGGCCTTTACACAAAGGGTTCCATATTTAAAGTAAGTTTACGAACTTATATTTATATTATTGTAATTTATACAACAACAAAAAAATTTGTGTGGACCCGTGCATGTGATCTAACCAAATAATACTTGCATGTTAACTTTTTGAAGTAATTAAGTAATGTTGTATAATTATTTCCTAGAATAATTTTAATATGTTCAATGTTATTTATTATTTTATTATCAAATTGGATTATTATTCATTAATATTAGGTTTTATTATTCCATATTATTTTTATAATTACTTAAATTCTTACAATCATTTTCTTTACTTCCTATTTAATTCTTCTGTAGAATAATTCTACTTCCTATTTAATATGTTTCCGTTACTACTATATTTTTTGGCCAAAAAATAATTGCCTAATTTTCATGAAAAATAAATATAGGTACGTTTAAGATGTCCAGTGGAGTTACTAAACGTGATCCAGCTTGGGAACATGGAGACCCAATAGACGGAAATAAACATGGCACAATTTGCAAACATTGTGGTCGGGTAATGAAGAGTGGCGGAGTGACACGACTTAAGTACCATCTTAGTGGATTAGATTCAGGAAATAATGTCCAACGATGCGATAATGTCCCCACAGAAGTGAAGGCATTCATCACCACATTATTAAAAAAAAAAAAAAAACAGCATAAGGAAAAGATAACACATGGAATGGAAAATATTCGAGCTGGGCTACGAGGAGAAGTCATTGGCCAAGCGGTTGACAGTGATGATGATGACGATGAGGACGAATATGATGATGACATGGGACCTGAAGAATGACACAGTTTCAAACAAGCATTACGTGCCTTCAAACAGTCAGCATGGGAAAGAGAACACCTTCATAAAATTCCTAATAGAGCATAAGGTTCCGGGACAAGTGGTGGTGCACAAATGAGACGGGGAGCAAGTGTTAGAGAATCACCACCAATAGCCCCAAGTTTATATAAGTCATCCAAAGCACGTCAAAATAGTGTTTGGAGTTATTTCACTGGAGGTAATGTGAATGAGGGAATGGGGCGTCTAATTAGCAAGTTCTTTATCTATGAAAATGTCCCTGCTGAGAAGGCATCATCACATCATTTCAAAAATATGGTATTGGGATGTCAACAGGCCGGTGTTGGAGTACAACCTCCCACTCCCTATGAGATAAGAAACAAATATTTGGAAATGGAGTGTAAAGACATTGGCGAGTATGTTAACAAGTTAAGGTCAAAGTGGGAAACTAATGGTTGCACAATCATGTGTGATGGATGGACTGGCCCGACCAGATTGTCTATCATAAACTTCATGGTATACTCCAAGGGAAAGACAATTTTTTTGAAGTCTGTTGATGCTTCAGACCATATAAAGAACTACAAGTATATTTACAAATTATTGAGAGATGTAATCATGGAGGTGGGAGAGCATAATGTTGTCCAAGTAGTGACCAACAACGGTTCTGCATTTGTCAAAGCTGGAAAAAAGTTAATGAAGCATCATAATGTGTTTTGGACATCATGTGCAGCATATTGTATTTATCTCATGTTTGAGGCAATGGGGAAGAGAGAGAATATTGCTACTGTAGTAAAAAGAGGTAGAACGATCACAAATTATATTTACAATCACGGTTGGTTGTTGGCAAAGATGCATGAATTTTGCAAAGGAGAAATTATTCGTCCAGCTACCACTCGATTCACCACCAATTATATTGCATTAGACAACCTACTTAAAAAGAAAGCAGGGTTGAAGCAATTATTCACTAGTGACGATTGGGCAAACCACAATTTAAGCCGCTCAAATGCAGGTCGTATGGTGGAAAGTATAGTGCTTGATCATGCTTTTTGGACTCAATCAGAACATGTGTGCCAAGTGTTTAAACATCTTTACAAAGTTTTACGGATCGTTGACACATAAGTGTATCCTACTATGGGGGCAATATATGAGTTGATGCGTGTAGTGAAGGATGATTTGGAAAGAAAACATG